TGACTTCTATGTGACTATATATCTTGTAGGACCCACAGTGGGGGAAACACACATTTGTCTTTCTGAGACTTATTTAACTTGATCAATAAAAGTAAGTCCAGCCACATCCCTTTTCCTGGAAATGCATAACTGGACACACCCACTGGCAGTTAAAAAAGGGTCCGACAGGTCCACGAGTTCACTTCCTGGAGTGACGCTGGCCAATGAGATATTGGTTCTTGAAAGGGGTGTATGCCTAAGCAGGAGTAAAGAGATGAATCAGTATGTGAAGAGAAAATTCAACGGTCCTGTCTCCTCAACTGCTTTGAACTCAATACTCTCTCTGAGCTTCAAGCAACTCAGCTTCAGAACACAGAGTGAGTTTTCTTCCTCACAGCATCCTCTAACTGCTTTGTCTTTCTCCTTCTGTCCCATCCAAATGCCAGGTCCAGTCTACAGGTTGAGGACTGACATGGGGCTGACGGGGCAGATTCCCCCAGCCCCCTAGTCCTCCACTCCAACATCTCTCCCTCCCACTCGCTCTCTGAGAGACCCTGTCTAGTTTGTCTTCTTTCTAGGAACCCTGGCTCCTGGAGTCTTTACAGCCTCTTCTGCCTACTAAAGTACAGACTGCTGAGGACTTGGGCACCAGGGAGCTTGGGGGTGAGAACAAAGTGCCCCCTCTGGGATGGAGGGAGGAGCTGAGGGAGCCTGGAGGAAATCTGAGTTCTGAAGGCTCCAAGGAGGGCTAGTGAGGCAGGAAAAGCAGAGGAAGTTCAGGACAGACTTGTGAGGGTCCCCAGAGCCCCTTAAAGATGCCCCATTGTCTTAGGGACCTGACCTGGGGGAAGTTGGGGAATATGGCCACCAGTCATAGGGGAAGTACATTCTCGAATCAAAGGGAACTAAGCACCCTAGAGCCCAGGGAAGCTTGTAATCTAGAGGATGAGAACACTGGCTCCCAAATCAAATGCACAGTGCCACCCAAAAAGGGAAAGGAACGCCTCATGGATTTTGTTCCCCAGGAGGGAGCCCCTTCCACTCTCCTGTCCTATCTTCTGAGCTTTCCTACCAACCTGCAGTTCTGGCATCTGAACGCCATCCCCTTTCCCCTATAGGTAGCTAGCAAGAAAGCCTAAACCCCCAGTTCGCTTCTGAGAGAACCGTCCCCACAGTCAACACAATTTCAAAAGGAAGAACTAACTTGTAAATAAACTCAAGGCTTCAGGAAATTCAATGAGCTTTATTTAAGTCCTGGAATTCTGTGGTCTCTGGTGCCCAGCCTAGTTTTTAGAGGCTGTACCAGAGACTGTGCCTGAAGGTAGTAGGGATGGATCATAAAATAGTTTCATAGCCACGGGTGTTGGACTGAGATGGCCAGTTTTCCAGGCTCACCCACAGCTCATCTCTAAATTGGTTCATTGAGTTCCATGGTTCACAGAGGCATGAGCACTGTCCTTCAGCATTTTGGGTTGACCTGTGATTTCTGTCCCCATTTCCATGTCGTGAGTACACAGAGTGCTTGCTTAGGACAGGGCTTGATTCAGGGGGTGCTGGAAGGAGAAACCGAGAGGAAATGAAACTGCTCCTTCTCAGCCTTATGGGGTACCTTAGCCTCCTTTTGGTTTAGGTTGTGTTTTGCTTTGGTATTTTATTATCACTAATCATCGAGGAGAAGCAAGAACCATAATGAGATGTTATTTTACTCCTGTTAGAAAGACTGGGTTTTTAGTAAAATTTATCGCATTTTTAATTATGTGTATATGTGTATCTGTGCAATGCACACGCCTGCAGGTGCCTGTCGGGGGCCCAAGAGAGTGCTGGATCCCCTGGAGTTGGAGTTACTCACAGTTGGGAGCCTCCTTCAGCACTCTGAGGTGAGATGTGATTTCTGTCTCATTTCTCATGAGGCCAGTGCCCCAGAAGTGCTTGCTCAGGACCGAGCCTGATTCTCTGGTGCTGGATGGACTGGCTGGGAGGAAAGGAGGAACAGAGGCTGTGTAGTAACACATGAGAAGAGGGTGGGGCCACAGCTGCGTAACAGGACAGAAATGAAACTGGCTCCCTCTCCGCATTATCGGTGCCTCAGTTTCGTTTCCTTCGGCTTGTGTGTTACTTTGGACAGAGACCGCCAGGATCTTGGTGTATACCGCAAGCTGATCTGGAAAACCCTGTATGCTTTTCTTGTCTCAAGCTCACAATCCCTGCATCAGCCTCCTAAGGGCACCACTGTTCTGGGCTCCCTGCAGGCTTCTGGGTAGAAACGAAGGTCTCTGCCAGCTCAGCTAGGAAAGAGGTCACATCCGGTTGTGGTCCTCCTGTGTAAAGATAGAAGGTTATTGGAACTGAAGCACGGTCACTAACTAAACATGGAGAGGAATCAGCAAGGCAAGCCTGTCGCTCTCCCTTTGCACATTGCATTTATAGCTCATCAGCATCATTATTAAGCTTCACGTTGACCTGGAGTGGGGCTGTCTATCTGGCTCCATCATGTTCATCTCCTAGGAGTCAAATGACTTCTGTTAGCTTGCCTTTTTCTGAGAACTTTCAGTATCATATGCAAATGTTTCCTATTAGGTGGGGCTTATGTGAACAACTGGACAGCCTGAACATATCTTAGGACAGTATCTTTCTCCTTACTCAGCTCTGAGTGTTTGGGCAACCCCAGGAAATGGTGCTAGTATGTGAGAGATTTGGAACCATAGTCTCCTCTCAAATCAGGAGTTGTGTGGACCCCTGTGGTCCTGCCCAAGATAAGGTTAGAGAAGAGCCCAGCGTTGTCATTGAGGGAAGCATCTGACAAAGTCTATAAAAATTAGCTAGTTCATGGCTTGACCCAGTGATTCAGCTTGTCAAAGTGTTCCCCTCATTGTGCATGACTTTATATTCTTAGATAAATTTCATGCTTCTGGACCTGAGGCTCAAATACAGGTACAATCTCATGTTTTACCCTGAATCTGTATCCTATGGATTCAGAGTTTTCCCACCTGATTTTTCTTCTTCAGGATCCCGTTTCTTACTTTGGCTTAGTTTCTCTCCATCCTTTCTGGCCTCATATCTCCCATTCTATCTAATAGATCTTTATATTTTTGAACCATATCTACATATATAGTTGGGGGACATTGTGAGGGAATTCTTGGGTCCAATGGAAGTCAGAAATGATTAGCATACTCAAACTCATCAAATTGTGCCTTGGTCTTCCTATAATTACATTAAACATATGAAACCATTTCAAATCTCAGCTAGAGGTCGCCTCATATGATGGTTGTTAATACTACATAGGACCCTATGCAGCACATTACAGGGATCTGTTTTTGGTTTGAGACAGGAACTTCCTGTAGCCCCAGCTGGCCTGGAACTGACTATGTAGTCCAGGTTGGCCTCAAACCCACAGAGTTCCACATCCCTTTGTTGCACAAGTGCTGGAGTTAAAAGTACGGGACACCACGTCCACCTTTACAGGGATTTTTGAAAAGTAGTATATCATCCTTTTATTAAACTGGACACCAGCATCTTTTTACAAGAACACTAGAAAGAGCATCGTCTACACAGAATCCTAAATAAAATGTTAACAATTGGATTCTGTCTTAGACCTGATAACAAAGTGCTGTGTGCCTGAAATCACAGCTCCGTGGGAGGCTGGCGCAGGAAGGTGAAGCCAGGCTTCAGAGTCAAGCCTGGGCAGAGAAAGAAGGAAAAGGAAATGAGAGCGTGCTGACCCTTTATTTCCCTTATCGAAGCATTAAAAATGGAACCTGAAACTGACTAGAGGTCAAAGATTAATCAAAAAGAAGACACTTTGAGCCAGGCGTGGTGGTGCATGCCTTTAATCCCAGCACTCAGGAGGCAGAGGCAGGCGGATCTCTGTGAGTTCAAGGCCAGCGTCTTCATAGTGAGTTTTAGGACAGCTGGGGCTACAGGGAGACCCTGTATCAAAAAAAGAACAAAAAAGAACAACAACAACAACAACAACAAAAAGAAGCCACTTTGGAAAGTGAAAGAAATCTCATGGTGATTCACTTTCCTGCAGGACAAGGTCTAAATGCAGGAGGCAGAAGCTGCAGTTCCCTTTCTTGATCGGCAGGGGGCAAGACAGACCTTCTTTGCACTTTTCTCACCTGTCTGAGGATGGGCTGAAGGATTGGTTTCTGTCCCCTATTTCTTGTCCTCAGTGGTAATGTGACTGACCATGCTTGTGCCAGCGGGGGAGATTTGGAAACCACAGATGTCAGGGGCAAGAGAGTGTGTCTAGGGCATACATTCTCCACGTAAGGCCCAGGAAAGGAGTGGGTGGGAGATTCTTTGGGAAATCAACTCATTCAAATGCAGTCGGGTACTAGCCACACACAGCAGAGGGAGGAAGAAAACAGAAAAATACCTGGGAAGACCTTAGACTTTAGCTTCAGGCCGCTCCCTGCGATGAGAGCACGCACAGCTGATCAATGAAGGACCTCCCTGGGCTGCAGAGGGGGAGAGCAGGTTGTTCCCAGAAATACCAAGTTTCCACCAGAACCCACAAGGCCTGTGAACAATGGGAAATGAGGGCCCGTGCCAGAGAAGAAAGCAGACTGACAGAACATGCTTCTGAGCACAGCACCAAACATTTTAGGACCGGCTTTAAAACATGTGTCTTCATAGCCACATGGAGAAGATGGAAACTAGACCCTTTTCTCAAACTAAATACACAATACTGACAGTGAGGGAAAGCCATCATGTAAGAGCAGAACCTGAAAAGGTACTAAAAGAAAACATAGAAGAAAAGCTCTGTGATACTGGATTTACCTGGACTCCATGGATGTGATCCTCTAAAGCACAGGTAACTTAACCAGAAAGAGTTGCATGCAGTTCCATGAATTTGAAATGTGACACACATCAAAGGAGGTCATCAAGCAGTACAGATGACCCAAGAATGGGAGGAAATATGTGGCACCTACCCCTGTAATGAGAGGCTGATATCCAAAGCAGAGCAGAAACTCTAGGAAGAAAACAAATGACCTGGTTACTAAATGGGCAGAATTGACAGTAATCCAAGCAGATAAACCAATGGCCAGTCAGCATTAAGAAAAGTTTGATATCCCTAAGCATCAAGGGAGAGGCAAGAACCACAATGAGCTATCTGGTTACTACTGTTAGAAAGACTGTTTTTATTAAGATTTGTTTTATTTTTACTTCTGTGTATGTGTGTGCAACATGAAAGTGTCTGTAGAGGCCAGAAGATTGCGTTGGATCCTCGGGAGTTGGAGCTACAAGCAGCTGTGAGCTACCCTACCTGTGTACCTGTGTACAGGAAAGAAGACTTGAACTTTTGCAAGAGCATCAAGTGCTCTTAACCGGTGAGAACCCCTCCAGCCCCTAGAATGTCTGTTACCAAAAAGATGAGAAACAAGTGTTGGCAAGGATGTGGAGAGAAGGGAATATTTGCACAGCATTGGTGCCAGTAGAAATTGCTATGGTCACCATGGAAAACATTGTGGGGGACCCTAAGAGTTAAAAAGGGCCAGTGTGGTAGCACACACCTTTAATCTCAGCACTCTTGAGGTAGAGGCATGTGAATTTCTGTGAGATGGAGGCCAGCCTGGTCCACATAGCAAGTTTCAGTGCAGCTAGGGTACAGGGAGATCTTGTCTCAAAAAAAAAAAACAACAAAAGAACCATTAAAAACAGAACTAGATGATCTAGCAATTGGAGCACTAGATGAACTCAGGAAAGGTGAAATCATGTCAGAGAGATGGCTGCATGCGGCTGTCTTTTACACTAATGGGTTTTTCTGTGTTTTGGTTCAAATGCAGTTTGCGGTCTCCTGGTTGGGTCCTACTGAAATGGCTTTCTTTTATAGGAAAGAATTTCAGCTGGGAATCAGAATGACTTCTGGGAAAATGAGCATCAGTGTTGATCTGGAAACGGGCTATGCTGAGCTGGTTCTCAATGTTGGACCTATCACTGCTGGAGAGAAGAACAGAAAGAAAATGAAGAACAGTCACCTGAGAAAAAGGGAGAGTGAGACAGTCTCAGGAGCTGTGTGTGCTCTGCTGAACTCTGGAGGGGGCGTGGTCAAGGCCAAAATTGAAGATCAAAACTATAGTCTTACCAGAGATGGAATAGGACTAGACCTGGAAAATTCCTTCAGAAATATGCTTCCAGTTCTTCACAAACACCTAGACTACATGAAGCCTGAAGGCTGCTTGTTAATTTTTGTGAAAGCCTGGATTCTGGGTATCTCTGGTCAGCATCTCATCACCTTGAAAACCAATTTGTACACAAGAGGTGTGTCTTCCTCAGTTGAAATGAACGCCCCTGTTGCCCTGCAGTTCCTCAGAGACAGGAGGGAACATGGAGGAAAGTCGGATTCAAGAGGAAACTTTGCCTGTGATGAATGCCAAGACTGTCCTGCCACTTTTTTTAACAAGACAAAACTTACATATAAGGATGCGTTCCCCTTTACTAAGTCCACCCATCTAGAAGTTAAATTCTGTCCTAAAAAAAACAGTTTAGAATACATTACAGAGAGTCTTCCTCAAAGTGTGTCTGCATTTGCAAACACCAATGGGGGGTATTTGTTCTTTGGTATAGATGGGAAGAATCAGCAGATCATTGGTTTTGAAGCAGAGGAGAGCGATCTTGCGCATCTAGAGAGTGAGATAGCAAAGTGCATCCGACAGCTGCCTGTCTATCACTTCTGTGAGGAGAAGGAGGAGATCAAGTACTTGTGCAGATTCATTGAAGTCCACGGCCCAGGAGGTGTTTGTTCATATGTCTGTGCGCTCAGAGTAGAGAGATTCTGCTGTGCCGTGTTTGCTAAACAGCCTGATTCCTGGCACGTGGAAGACAACTGTGTGAAGCCGTTTACCACGGAGGAATGGGTCAAGCTCCAGATGGATGTCACACCAGGTGGGAAGAGGGAATTAACAGGCAGCATGCATTTAGCTGGGGAGGGTGGAAGGTTTGTGTTTGGAATTTGGGTCATATCAGAAGTCCTCAATGTTGAACACCTAAGTTAGAAATCTCTGGTGGATGAAATCGGTAGCTGACTACCACTTGTTTTCTTCTGTCCACTTAGAGGTTTCCACATGGAAATCATGCCAGCTGCTCTCAGTACCCACAGTGTTGTGCTGCTTCCCTTCAGAATGACAAAATCTGAGGCAATCAAGATAGAAAGAGAGAAAGTTCATTTGGGCAGAGTTCTAGACCTCTCTGTGTGTGTTCAGCAGGCTCTGTCCCTTTGGAGGCAGCACATGTGGCAGAGACCACGTGGCAGAGCAAACCTGCTCACCCCCTGGCAGGGAGGGAAGGAGGAAGCAGCAGCAGCACCCCACCAACCCCCTTCAAGGGTCTGCTGAGGTCCCACACCACAGGAAGCTCAGATTCCAGCCCTGTCTCAGGACATGGGCAAAATGCAGAAGAGGTTTTCACAGGAATGTAATGAAGTGGCTCAGGTTTGGTCCCAGAGACAGGACCACCTCCCTCTGAACACTGCTCAGCATCGCCTTCAATTGGCGCCTGTCTGCGTTCTCCTCTACCTGTGCCCACCACAGTTGCCTTTCAAGCTCCTCCTGCATCTTTCCAGAACACAGCTAGCTTGCTTCCTGACCTTGTCAGCCTGTTTCCTACTGCAAAGTTTCTGTGACACACGGTCAGGTGACTCACAGCAGAGATCTCCTTTCTCAATGTCAATTTCCTGTGTTAGTGGTCTTTCAGCAATGATGACACACTAGAAATCCAGTTATGAAATAAAATGTTCATTTTATTGCACATTTGGGAGCAGCCAGGCCCAAATATGTGGGCTCTGTTGCTTTTGGGCCTGTGTTGAGGTGGCAATTCTTTAAAATATTTTATTTATTATTTTTATGTGTATGAGTGTTGTGTTTCACTTGCATGTATGTAAGTGCAACCCTTGCATGAAATTCCCAAGGAGACCAAAGGAGGCTGTCAGATCCCCTGGAAGTGGAGTTATGGACGGTTAGCTGCCATGTGGATGCTAGGAATCAAACCCAAGTCTTCTGTAAGAGCAGCCAGTGCTCTTAATCACTGAGCCATCTTTCCAGTTCCCCTCTAGCTATAATACTATGAGAAACATCAGCTTTATGGTCAAGGAGGCCCAGATTGCTACATGCCTGACTGGCCCTTCCTTCCTTCCTTCCTTCCTTCCTTCCTTCCTTCCTTCCTTCCTTCCTTCCTTCCTTCCTTCCTTCCTTCTCCTTAGTCTTTCTTTACCTCTCTCCCATTTACCCCTTTGAAGATAAGCTTCTTTCTTCTTCTCACACATTTATGTAATAAATTTAACAAAATTTAAGCAAGAAGAAAAGAAAAATGCTGGTATTATATCTGATTTGGGAAAAAGGAGAGACACAAATGAAATTAATACCAAAACTGATAAACTCTCAGAAATGCAGACTTCTTTAGACTTCTCATAAAACTCAGAATTTCCTCACCAGATTCCATGCCTCCTGAACTGAACAGCTCTTAGACTACATCAGATCTGGGATGCATCTCAGTGAATAGAGTGCTTTCCTAGCATGCAGGAAGCCCTGCATTCAATCCCCAGGGCCACAGAGAACTGTAAACCAGGCATGGTGACATACACCTGTGGTCACAGGACTCTAGAACTGGAGGCAGGTAGTTCAAGGTCACCTTTAGCTAAATAGTGAGCTTGGGGCCAGCCTGACCATGTGAGACCCTATCCCAAATAAATAAAAGCAAATAAACACAAAGATAACAAACTAGTTTATTTGATGATGAATTCAATTACTCAGTGCATTTTTTTCTGCTCCATTTTTGGAAATGTAGAGTATTCCAGTTTCCTCAAGACTAAGTTCACAATTATTATCCAATCTTGAAATATGACCTCAATATCTAACCTATTGTTTTTATTAGGAAAACAGTCATTTCACACCTGATTATTGTTTTGTTTTTGTTGAGACAGGTTCTCACTATGTAGCCCTGGTTGGCCTGAAACTCTCTATGTAGACAACTCCTAGAGATGTGCCTGTCTCTGCTTCCCAAGTGCTGGGATTAAAGGCATCCACGATCAGTCTGGTTCAAACCAGATATTTAAAATATTTTATCTATTGTTTTTATGTCATGTGCATGAGTATATTGCCTGCTTGTGTGCAAGTGTACCTGTGTCGTGCAGTGCCCACAGAAGTCGGAAGAGGACGTCGGGTCACCTGGAACCAGAGTTACTGAAGGTTGTTGGCTGCCATGTGACTGCTGGGAACCAAACCTGGGTCCTCTGGAACAGCAGCCAGTACTTTTAACTGCTGAGCCATCTTTCCAGTTCCTCAAACCACAATTTTAATGTACTGTGCACTCAGTAGTCAGTATGTCTTGGGGCAAATTTAAAATATATCTTTTGTTTTCTCAGGTTTTTCTGAACAAACATCAAAAACGACCCTTCAATCTCCCAGTCCACCATGCATTCCCAGTGGTTGGTCTGCTTGTGATAACTCAGAATGTCAGCCACAGACTGGACACCTTCCAGGTACTTACTCCAGTTTCTTCTTAAAGATGTATTTAGTTTTTAATTTCGTGTGTATGCGTGTTTTGCCTGCATGTGAGTGCACTCATGTCATGCAAGGACCATGGAGGTCAGAAGAGGGCACCAGATCCTCTGGAACTGGAGTTGCAGATGGTTGTTAGCTGCCATGTAGGTGCTGGGAGTGGAACCTGGGTTTGCTGCAAGAGCAGCTATGTCTCCAGCCTCTATTCCACATTCCTGAGTTTGTTTCTATGATTATTGCTTCAACTCTTCAAACGTGTCATCAAACCATTTTGATATATTTACTCCTACATCTGCCAGTTCTGTTATTTAGGTTTTGAATAACATTTTCTTTTTCCTTTTCTTTACATGTGCATGGGTATGTTGTACTCATGCCCGTGTATGTGTGCATTCATGGATGTGGACACAGGCATGTGTTGCAAGTGCATGTGGAGGCTGGAGGTGACGGCAGGAATCTTCCTCAGTCACCCTTTCACATTCTGCTTTGAGGCAGAGTCAAACTCATAGCTCACTGACATGGTCAGTCTCCCTAGCCGGCTTGCTCTGGGGTTCCCTTACCTGTCTTCTAAGGCTGAAATGAAAGGCAGGTTGCTATCACATCCAGCAATACTTGTGTTCTGGAGATTCGAGCTCAGAGTTTCTTACTCCTGTGGCAAGAGCTTCAACCACTGAGCCATCTCCCCAGCCTCCTAATTCTGTTTATGCAGTAGGGGTTCCTCTGCTTTTCAAGCTGGGTCTTGAACCAAGGGACTTGCACATGCCAAGCAAGCATTTTCCACTGAGCTACATCCCTAGCCACAGGGATTTGGAAGAGCAACCTGTTCACTGTGAACAAAACTGAATATGCACACGACTTGTTCATAGGTCCCTGTGAAGCCTAGACTGAGGTTGGGCTTCGGGCGGGGCTGTGTGCAGTGACTGAAGAAATGCCCTCTTCCTCCCCTCCTCTCCCCTCCCCTCCTTCCTCTCCGCTGTTGCTGGGTAACCGAGCTGCTTCCTCTTCTGCTTATGAGCAGTGCTGCCTTCAACACTCTCAGTATTCTTGGGCACGTGTTCAGGGGTTTCCATGGGAGCATATCTAGAGGTACGAGTTCAGGAGGGTGCCCGCATTCCCACGGGAAGATAATGTGGATTCGTTTTCCCAATTAGTGTATGTTGTTCTCGTCAGCAATGGATTAGAAACTCTGCATCTCCAGCTGTCAATCTTCTCTTGTTTCTGCTCCTCTTTTCACCCTGGGACTTTCCAGTCAAACAGGAAGGAAACTGTCTGTGGTTGGCATTTCCGCAGTTATCATTTTAGCTGAGCGTCTCCTCTTTCACTTACTGGTCTTCTGTGCTTCGTCTTTACAAAGTGCCTGCTCTGTCTTTGGCCCAGCTTTCTAGTAGGGTTCATATTTTAAAATTAACTTTTTAAGGGATAACTTAAGGAGTCTGGAAAGAATCCTCTTCGGTTGTAGCTTCCATCAGTTACTTCTTTTGTTGCTATGACAACAGACCTGCCATCTCATCTTCAGGAAGGGAGACTGTTTTGCACTCACAGCTCAAAGGTGTCATGACAGGGAAGTCCTGGCAGGAACCACGTGAGGCAGCTCGCACATGCATATGAATTTTAGAATCTTTTTCTGTTTTATATCTGTGAGGAATTCATTGAAATTTTAATGTGCACTGAATAGAATCTTGTAGCTCAATTTGTTTCATAAAGTCATTCTAAGAATATTAATTCTATGAATACGTGATCATGGGATACTTTTCCTTCTTGTAGTTTTTTTTTTTTTTCACCTTTTAGGACAGTATTTATGTATAAGGTAGTCGGATATGCCAAAATCTTTTCTTTGACTTCAAGTTGCTAAAGTTGGGTGATATTTTAATTCAGTGAACTGGAAGTGAAGTTGTCTTTCCAAACTGTGTGGTTCACTTGGAACAGGCCTGCTCCCACAGGCACATCCAGACTCAGGAATGGGAAGGAGAGCCTGCCCAGTGTGTCCATAACATCAGTGGGTTCCAGCCAGAGTGACTGTCTACCCATGCACCTCATAAGAGAACTCCTGGCCTACTTATATAACAAATTTGCTGAGTATCTATAAACTGAAATGTGGTTTTAAAGTAATGAATCATTCTCTAATTTCACAAGAAAGTACTTTATCCCCTTTGACTCTGACCCATTGTGGGGAGGCAGCTCTGGAGACTGAGGAGTCTGCTGGCCGTGAGCTCAGGCTCTGAGTCTTCACATTCGGCCTCCAACCAACACAGCCAGCCCTGCCCTCCCCATAACTGCACTGACGGCACTCTGGTTCTTTAAATTCATTTGATATCCTGTGCATACACTTCTGATTGGTGGAAGTCTTGCACTATAGAAGCTACTTGGTCGTGGTTTCCAAAGAATTTTCCAAATTTTTAATATAATGAGTTATCTTTATTTCTTTTCCAGCAGTCTCCACAAAGCCGACATGTATTCCAGAAACCCTCTGCACAGAACTGTTCTCACAACACAGGGGACTTGAACAGTTAATGCAGACAGAAATGGGCTCTCTTCGTCAAGGAACACTGATCTTCTCTAAGAGCTGGTCTGTGGATCTGGGCTTGCAAGACATCAAGGGTGTAATCTGTAATGTGTTTCAGATTACTGAAGGCAGTCTACCAACCCTGTACTTCGTGGTCAGAGTAGGGGAGGAGTCGGAAGGTGAATGCACTGTTCTGCAGGAACTAGGTGACGAGTTAAAGGATTATTCTAGACGAACTGCTCTCACTTTAAAGCAGAAGCTGGTGAGCCTTGGCGGCTACACTGAGAAAATAGGAATTATGATAAAGATATTGTACTGGGATCATAACAAAGTGCTTAAATATGATTCAGACTCAAAAATAAGGTACCCCGGGACCTATTATCTAACAACCATTACAGTAAGACGCTTGCTGAAAGCTGTTTATACAGTCTTAAGCAGTCGGAGTCTCTAAGCTATAGCGATCAGTTTGCCTCTGAAATTCTCAACACATAACACATAATCTGATAGATTACTTTCTTAAGAAATATATAAGCATGTTCAACTCTTTTCTAAGATTTGTTTGAAATTGACAATAGGCTATAACTACAACGATATTTTACGTTATGTAATGTTTTTTAATTCTGTAAAAATATGCTTTTGAAAAGGTCCCAGGAATTGAAAGCCAATTTCTGGGAAAGCAATTAGCCATGGGGGAAGATAATGACAGAACTTTGCTTAAAAACTGTGTCACTGTCCTCATGGTTGTTCCTTCCCACGGCAAGTTCCAGATGCTTTTAGTGGGTTTAAGCCATTCTTCCTACAGAGGTAGAGAAGATACTGTTAATTTCGAAGTAATCACGTCCATGGTGTGACCAGCAACATTTCTGTCATAGTGTTGCTGCTCAGGCCATGAGTGATATTTTTGTTAAAAGCTGTGATATGTGAGTGCTGTGGAAGGCATTTCCACACACAAATCACAGAAGCGACTTACAGAATGTGTGAAGATTACCAGGACGAGGCTCAGAGTAGCAGATATTGGATCTAGGAGATTTTCAAAAACAACAGGGACACACAGACAAAGAATGTATAAATTTCTACAAGGAGAGCCATGTCTTAAAGACAAAACGTAGCTGTTAAACGTAAGACTTGAGAAGACAGTTAACAGCCATGAGCTTCTGTCAGATCCAGGAATAATGCTACGGCAGCTGAGCCCACACAGTGTACTGGGATCTGCTCTGTCATGGCTGAATCTTCTGTTTTTAACAGTGTTTCCTTTGAATTCTTGATGCTATAATTTGAAATTGTTGGTAACATTTTGTTTACAATTTGATGTGCTATAAATTGCATCTTCACATTTTCTGTGCTACAGATTAAAACCTGTAAGGGTGTTTACTGTGTTCTTTGTATGAATATATTGCGTATTGACATAAAAATGTTGAAATTTCCTCCATATATGGAGATGTCCTCTTTGTACATCTGCGATTATGAAGGATAAAAGTTGTCAACATGTGCGTTTTTTGGTGATTATGCTTCCGGTGATAACCTTTTCTGACTTTTGATTGATCTCATCAAGAGCAGGTTGCCCTTCATGATGGTTCAGGTGACTGGGATTCCCTGTAAGCTGGTTGCTCACAGTTCCTGGGCATCATAAGCCACATTTCCTGTTTCAATCTTTTTTTTAAAATCAGTACCATTTGTTTCATCTTGTTCACTGCTCTACTTCTTTTTGAATGCAATTCACCTACTCATAACTTTTGTTCATGAAGTTGTCAATAATATATTTGGGTGGTTCTGCTTGCCAAAATTAGAGTGCCATTCTCTATTTTGTTGTATAAAGTCTATTCAATATTCTGCTATGTTTTTAGATTTCTCTAATAAATACTCTTTTTCACATATATTCAAGTGTGTTTCAAAGAATTATTATTCCTCTAGAACATATTTCCAGGTCTATTGTTTCTCAGGATTTTGGATTTTAGGGATGTTGACTATTCAGGATTACAATATTCAGAATTGTTGTCCGGACCATAGTCCACCAAGAAGACACAGTAAGACACACATGTGTGAATCAAACCACTAAGCTACAGAATGTATGAGGCAAAAAGCGATAGACTAAAAGGAGAAATTTGTGATTAGAGTTGGAAATTCAACACCAAATATCATTTTTTTCTAGAACAAGTAGATAAAAAGCTGTAAATAAATCTAAGCATGGCGGGGGTGTGCCTTTATGCTCAGCACTCTACAGGCAAAAGCAGGTTGACCTCTATCAGATCCAGGCAAGCCTGTTCTATATAGAGGATTCCAGGCCAGCTGGGGTTACAGGGTGACACTACCTGAAAAAAAAATTGGTAAACATAAAAAAAACACACTACAACCCATCAATAGGATCTTTTTGGCATGTTAGAACCCTCTACCCAATAGCTATAGAAAAATGTATTCTTTCCAAATACCCATAGGACATGTACTCAGCTGGGTAACAAAATAAACCTCAATAGATTTTAAAGACCTGAAAGTATTTGTGTAGAGTGTGTCTCATGAGTAAAATGGAATCACACTAGAAAGATCTATAGTCAAAAGATAAAAGGAAAATCTTTAGACACTCAGAAACCAAAAACATACTTTAAAATAATCTGTAGTTCAAAGCAAGGCGAAATCAAGCTAGCACTGACTTAGAGCCTCATCTATACTGCCTAGAGTTCATAAGGCTCAAAGGTACTGTGAAAGCTACTGGAAGGAAAAAATAATCATCATCCTGACCCATTGGTGAATCCTATAAACTGCAATAACAACTGGCCTGGCAAGATATGCCCACTGGTGCAATAGTGGCACAAATGTGGTGGGAGTAGCCAACCACTTTTTAATTGGATTTAAAGTACACTTTTTAGGATGGAGTCCATACCTGACATTAATATCAGGCTTAGGAACCTGCCACTAGACAGGTCACAAAACATATCAGCGAACCTAATACTAGTTTGTTTGGGATTTTTTTTTTTTTTACTAAATATCTATCATATTAAACTTACTCTTAATGACTTACATTCATAGATTAATGCACCTCTCAACTCTCACCAGAGAATTTTCCTTTTACAACAGATGATGATTAACACAGAAACCCCCAACTGTCCAATAAGCAGAGAACAAGAGGCTGTAGAGCCCTTATCCACAAATAGCACATGCACCAAACTTCTGTCTCCCAAGGCTCAGGGGTCATCGCAGAAGAGGGGGCAGAAAAACTGTAAGAGCCAGAGATGGTGGATGAGCACAGGGAAAACAGTTTTCTAGACAGTTGGTCAGTTACTCATATGAACTCATGGCAACGGTAACAGCATGCACAAGTCCCATGCAAGCTCAAACCTGAAAACTGTCCCATCATAGACATGGGGAACTGGGTAAGAAGCTCCAACCACACCTAAGGAAAGTATGAGAACAGATGACTGCTGGGAAGGGCACAGACAGTCTCTTTCAAGCATAGGACTCTTGGTAGGTTAACCAGGCTCCAATGGCTGAAGCCACACTGAAGGACATAGTGAAATGGCAAAGATGACTCCATTTCGTTCTAGCTGATTTTGCTTTACCCTGTGTTTCTGCCCAGCTGTTCCCCCTGCAGCCAGCCGGGCAGAACATTCTCACGCAGGCAGTACATTGTTTCTACAATCTGGGACTCTTACAGCTAGCTAGGCAGAACACCCTCTCCTAGCTATACCTGCGGTTTCAGGGAGTGCATTGAATCTATAATTCAGAGAAATTGATTTTTTTCTAACTGAAATTGAGAACCTTTTTGCTAACTGAAAACTTCTTTAACTGACCTGCCCGTTGTCCAGTGCAACTATGGTGATCTGATGCAACCACGTTTATTGGCTTTCCCCTGACATGATGTAATTTTGGTTTGGGGCTTTATAAACCCCAGTTTGCCTCCCTTCAGTGTTAAGAGTTCTTTTTGAGGGTGAGCTCACTCTCAACCACCTGTCATTACTAATCAAAGGATTCTTAATTCAACCATCACTATGTGGTGTTCCTCTGTGCCTTGAGTTACCTATAGCATTAGGAGACACAAATTGGACATTATAGGCCTCATTACATATATTACTTTAAATTGGGCAAGGGTCAGTAAGCAGAGGTGGGGATGGGGAGGGTAACTAAATACCATTAAATTATATTGTATAAAAATTGCAAAAATTTAATTAAAATGTACAAATAATAATCTTTACTTCAAAGTGGAGGCTTCCAGGAAATATTTAAATGCATTTAAGTAATTGAAATGAAAATACGGTACATCAAAATTCAATAAGAGCACTGTGACTTCTTGATGCTACTGCATTTTAAGCACTGTGCCCAGGCCCACACGGTCGGATGAATCACACTCACCTCCCCCTGTCTGTGAAGCTCTGGTTCCTGTGAGTTCCTTGCATGGAGAAAGGGACTTTGCAGATGTGATTTTAGACTCTCGTAGGGAGAATATCGTGCAGGTTGGCCCAGTAAAACCACAAGAATTTTCACAAGACGGAGACAGAAAATCAGAATCAGGGAAAGAGAAGAAAAATAAGTGTGGACAAAGGTCAGTGTGGAGAGGTGACCCACACTGGGGGCTTTAAGAAGGAGGAAAGCAGCTAGGTATGGTGGTGCATACCCTTAATCCCAGCACTCAGGAGGAACTCTGTGAGTTCCAAGCCAGCTGTGGCAACAGGGAGACCCTGTCTCAAAAAGACCAAAAGAAAAAAAAAATGCTCCAGCAAGCTATGTCAGAAACATAAACACACATATGTGCATTTTTCTATAATGTCTTAATTTACTAAACAGCAAGAAATTAACAGGCTACATTCATCTGATTGACTTTGATTCACCCGGCACTCCTGATGTCACTTGAGGTCACTTTGGCATACAGGATCTTTTGTTCCCATCTAAATCACTAATATTGATCCTCAGACCACACACTACACGTCATACCATAATCTGTGCATGAATTGTGTAACAACATGAATTTACACACACACATGTAGGTTACAGAATGGATATAAGAAGGTTAAAGCAGCAGCAGGGTTCAGGGGAGCTGTATTGAAGACGGAGGCACAGAGTTACCAAAGACACAAGGGAAGTCCTCTGCAGAGGACCAGTAAGAAGTCCCAGGAACCACAGGCACAGTGCATTTGGGGTGCAGTTGTCAAATGCAGGTCTGGCTGGATGCACGTTCCAATGTTCACATGAAGTGTGTCTCAGGGAGGAGAAAGTGTGCTTGAGCTGGAGCCCAGGAGCTGGGGTGGAGGCCCTTCTCTGTGGCAATTTTCCTGGATGAGACTCATGAGAAATGACAGGGTGATGGTTCAGTGTGCCAGCCACATCTGAATAATGGGGTGCTCCTCCTCTGGAGATACATGAAAGTGAGTTACATCTACTATGATGGACAACCTCCTGTGTCTGGTGTTACTGATGTTCTTGGATATATTTGCAAGAATAATATTATTTACCACTGATAATTTACATTGCCTCTCTTTTCTTCATTTCCTTCTTTCTGTCTCTCTCTTTCATCTCTGTGTGTGTGTGTGTGTGTGTGTGTGTGTGTGTTATACATGTTTTAGTACATCTCTCCACTTGTGCATGTGGATGCATATGCAGGTGTGTGTGTGTGTGTGTGTGTGTGTGTGTTATACATGTTTTAGTACATCTCTCCACTTGTGCATGTGGATGCATATGCAGGTGTGTGTGCATGTGTGTCAAGGTCAGAGATTGATGTTGGATATTTTCCTTGATTGTTCTCCAACATCATTTTTGAAACAATGTGTTTTGATCAGTCTGGAGCTATTAATTGGATTAGACGGTCTGGCCAATGAGCTCCAGGGATGTGCCTGTCTCTGATCCCCAGTGCTGGGGTTAAAGGCCTACATCTCTGTGCACAGCTTTTACAAGGATGCTGGGGACTGAACTCAGGTCCTAGTCCTTGCAAGCAAGACCATCTCTTAAGCCCCTTCTTTTCACTTTTAAAAAGGTGTATTTATTATTTTACTTTATGAGTGTTTGCCTGCATGTATATAAGTACAATGTACCACATGTAAGCCATGTGCCCAATAGTCCAGTAAGGAACTATCTAAGGGGAGGGGTGTAGCATGATTACTTATAGTAAAACAGAGATCATTAAGTATAAAAAGAGTTTAGACCGAGTTCCCTGTAACAGGGTGTCAACATCCCTGCCAGAGACTACAGTCAAGCAAAAAAAAGTCCCAGCCAGTAATAAAGTCCCTCCTTCGGAGTTGTTGCCCAGGGGCGTCCCACCGACCCTCAACACTGGCCATTGTCGTTGCTCCTGGATTCCTGTCAGAACTTGATGGTAAGACCCTACTGCTGAGACTCTACAGAAGTGAGTTGTAGAACAAACAGAAAATCAAGGTGGTACTGACCTCAAAGCTTCATCTCTACTGGCTGGCTTTCAAAGTGCTGGAAGGTGCTGTGCATGCTACCAGAAGAGAAAACTGACCATCAGCCTTACCCAGCTCTGGACCCTCTGAGCTGCAATAAGGACTGACCCAACAAAATCTGCCCACTGGTAGAAGAGTGGCACACATGTTACAGGAGTAACCAACCACTTTCTAATTGGAAATAAGGCCCATTTCACAAGATGAAGTTCATACCTGATACTGTCATCAGGGCCAAGTACCTATGGCTACACAGGTCACAGACTATAGGGGAGAGCTTACTACCATTAAAAAAATTTATTGAGAATATTTTTGTTATTCCAAAGAGAGGCAATTTTTAGCACATTTTTCCAGAAATAACTTGAAGCAGGTTACATAAAATATATATACAGGCTGGGCATGGTGGTGCACGCTTTTAATCCCAGAACTCTGGAGGCAGAGGCAAGCAGATCTCTGCTTCCAGAGTGCTGTGAGTTCGATGCCAGCCTGGTCTC